AGTTGAAAGAGAGTTTTGGAAAATGTTTTCCTTAAGTTTTGAAGGGAAGTCATTTTCCGTAAATTTGAGGAAAATGAGTTGATTTGGAAAACATTTTCCAAAACATTTAACCCAACCAAACATGAGAAAATTGGAAAATGTTTTCCTTCATACCAAACACACCCTATGACTATCTTGTGCACCAATTAAACCTAATCCTTTTGTTGACAACCTTGTTAAAACCTCTTGACCCAAAAATGTTACTTCCTTCTCACCTATAAATCATTTTGAAGCATTGGTTTGTTTGAATAGTTTGGAAAGAAAATCAAATAGCAAACACATTAGCTTAAGAAGGATCTAAGATGCAACAAGCAAACTCTTTTGTACAATGGACATTTCCACCTTTGTTTGTACTTAATAAGGTGGAAGCAAATAAAGTAGGAACTCCTTTTGTTCAGTTGAAAAGGGCTCTAATCGATCCTGTAAATTGTAATAATGATAAAGCCTCCCCCGAAAATAGCTCTAGCAGTCTAGTTGCCATTCCACTCCCTTGTAATAATGCATATTAGTTTCTATTAATATATTATCTCCATTTTACCAAAAAAAAATAAAACTTAGGCCAAAGCCTAAGTTAGGGGTATGATAAAGAAGGAGAATATATTCCAAGTGAAAAAGAAGCATAAGACTCACCCTTGGTTCTTGTGGCAAAGTAATGCCTTGATCATCTTTGTGGTATGATTGAAATAAAAAGGGTTCCCGATGAGTTGAATAAGAAATGAATGTTGGGAATTACTTGAGGTTGAGTCTCTTGGTCAAAAGAAAGAAAGAACTTGAGAAAAAGTGAAGTTGGAAACAACAATGCTTCGAAAAGGATAAGTCACCCCATTACAAGACTGAAAAAACCCTTTGAGATCTTAACTTAAAGTCGAGTGATGTTATGATTGAAAATATATAGACAAGCCTATACATTAAAACGTGCATTCATTTAATTATCGGGTAAAAGTACTAATACTCTCCCAACAAATTAAGTTGTGACAAGATAACAAATGCAACTTTATTATATTACCAAATCCAAAATGACAACAACAACAATAATAAAAAAGTAAATAAAAATTGCCAAACCTTAGAGACCTAAACTCTAAAACTGAAAGAAATCCTTGATATCATTGTCACATTCAAATAGATGCATATAGTCTTCCTTCAAATCCACTTGCACACAAATCCCATTGCCACATTCTGCATCATACAACCAGCAAACTTGATCATGTCTTGACCCAAAATGCATCAAACATGGCTTTCCCCAACCAAAATCAGCTTCTTGTATAGGAAATTTACATAAACTTGAACTTGTGTACCTATCAACTTCATCACTTCCCAGGGGCGGCTCAACATAATATGTGGCCTAAAGCGAAATTTTTATTAGAGGCCTAAAATCTATATAACTTTTATCTATATCTATTTATTTTGCTAATTTTCTAGATATAAATTACTACTTAATATCTTTTATATAAATGATTTTTCAAACACTTTTTTTTTTTAATTATTAGTTTTAAGTAAGATTTTATCAATTCAACATTGAAAAACATCTTTTTGTTGAGACAATTATTATATGAATTATTAACACAATTTTATAAGTAATAAGTTAATAAACTTTAAAGATAAGAGTTAGAATCATAGCATTTGATTCAAAAAGTTGATAACTTGGTATACCTACTTTAATATGAAAATTAACAAATAAATTTTAAAAAAAAGAATTTGTAATGCACTTTGTTCAACACTTTTCGACTATTGATTCATATTTTTGAGAGTGTATTACTCTAACTATCAAAGATTTGAAGAAATAGAGTGCAAAAAGAGTTACAAAGGATAAATAATGTGAGTGTTAACGAAGAAAATGTAAGAATCCAAAACAATGTTTCCTTAATTTCTTCTATTTGAATAGGGTTAAGATACATAATTTTTTATTTATAAAAATTTGAGGCCCCCAAAAATTGGGGGCCTAAGGCCAATGCCTAAAATTATATAGGCAAGAGCCGGCCCTGTCACTTCCTCCCCAATCTTGTGCTAGAAAACTTTCATTATATATATTTGACACCGCGGACACTATGTCCTCCGGTGATGTCTTGTCACAAGTAATAATAGTTTCCTTCACAGTGTCATGAATTAATGTCACGAATTTGTGCAACTCCATCTTGTTCTCCCCAGGTATGAATTTTAAAGGGGCGTCAACTCCAAGATTTCCAAAAGATTTTTCTACTTGAGGTAAAGAAATTAACCTAGTGCGCAAGTTTATTGGGATGTTCATTAGAGAACGTCTTAGATATCCGTGCTTCTTTTCTGAAGCACGAATTAAAACCCTCCATAGGAGGGCCATGATCATTTCAACTCTTGACGGCTTAAAGGTGCATAAGTCTCCACCGACTTCTTTTCTTAGCCTTGAAATGGAATCTTCGTTGATGTTTAGCCTTTTGGCTACTAATTTAGACTCCACACGATCTTCTAGAGGAACACGAGGCAAGAGAAGCTTCGATAAATCTCTCGATGGGAAAACATCAACCAAATTAAAGCTCATGAAATCAATCTTCTCTACAGGAATCTCAAGTCTACACACTTTGGACCACTCGTTGATAACAGTAAAAGTTGAGTAACCATCCATTGCAATGTGCGCGTGGCTCATGGATAGAGCCAAGCCACCACACTCGAATTCTGTAATTTGGATAATGACAACTGGCATGGCGAATAAGTTGGATGCATCTACATTCCATGAATCTTGAGGCCAACAGAGCAATGAAAGGTTGACATCCTTGCGTGCTTTCTCAAGAAATTCATTGAGTTTACTATTCACTTTTGCTTTTATAAATTTAACCCCTTGGTCCTGGCAGGATATCGAGTTATCCTCGGTAAATCTGCCAGAAATAGGGTAAACATGAGTTAAAATCCTAGATAAGGATTGCTCAAGTTGTTCTTCATGAGCTGAAAAATTAATGTTGTTGGTAGGAGGATAAAAAAAA